ATTGATGTCTTAATTAGTACATCTTACTATTATCAGTCTCAGAAGATTCTACTCTTAGACTCCCTCCCCCTCTGGATGACTAAAATGTCCTTTGCATCTAAAAGGGTTACAGTAAATATGAAATGTGACCCTCTGATGTTAGACATAGTAAAATCATGAAGTACTGAAAGCAGTCTGGCTTTTATCTTTATAATAATGTGTTAACACAAAATGTGGGCAGACAATCTAGTTTCAATGAAAGGTTAAAACCTTTTAAGTCCAACACTCACCCCATTGACAAACAAAATCACCATGCAGGGGTTGATTGTTCGAAAGCCGATAAGTTAACCTTAGATTAAGCAAACTTCCTAACAGTTTGTTTATAAATTTGGAAATATTTCTTTAGACATCTTGTCTGGATCAGTACCATTGATAGGAGTTTTCTTTTCATAATTTTAAAACAAAAAGATACTGTATGTAGAAATACATAAATTTTAACTACGGGTTAGGGTTAATGCAGCTATGCAGGCCTTAAAATATCTGTCGGTCATGGACATTGTCCGACCCATTAGTGAAATTGTCCGACGTAGAGAGGAAACCACCAGACATTCTGTCCGACCAAAGTGAAATTGAGGTTTATTGTTTGTCCGACCTGAGTGTATTGGTGTCCGACAGAACTGTAGCTTTGTCCAACGTAAATCAAAATGTACCCTATCCCAGGACTAGAGGCTCGTATGTTAAATGGAAAATCAGAGTACTATAGACCTTATTCATAAATCGTGATGAGGCCTCTATCCTAGGAAACGGGAAAACGCGGGGAAGCTCTGCAGCTTAATGGGTAAAATTAGGGTATGTAAGTGCTAATGGTAACTGAGACATGCACACACAGTCTGTTAATCCATCACAACATCACATCTTAATGGGTTCATGGAATACCGTAAATCTCGGACTATAAACCCTGGGCTATATATTTGGTGGGCTTATACAAAGGGGGGGGGGTTACAGTATATAGGAGGGATAGAGCTTATACATGGACATTCAATCTTTTGTGTTAGTATAATAAACAAGTCAGTCATAAACAGGAAAATAAACACATAGTAATAATGCACTTTGATTAATTAACGACTTTTTGTCGTTGACTTAAGCTATAAAGATAAAGACAATGTTTTAAATATTGTTCTCTGATATATTAACCCATTGAGTCACAACGCACCCCAGTGCGCTCTACTTTCTTTTCACTTGTCTAACGCCAAACGATTTTACTCGTCAATGGGGAAACTCTGCAGCTTAATGGGTTGACAAAAAAATTTGACAATGTCTCTGGTAAACCCATCAAGCCGCAATGCGCCCCAGTGTGCCTTACTTATTTTTTTACTTGTCTTATGCCAGACAATTTTACTTGTCAATGGGTAAGCTCCGCAGCTTAATTAGCTTATGGGGGGGGGGGCTGAGTTGTATAGGTTTTCATTGACTGGTGCATAACACCTCTAACAGTGAAATAGATTTTTTCATTGATTGAAGAATTTGGACATAAAAAGCCTAGATATATAAAAATTAGAAACTTATGAAAGTAGCAGTTGATTTGAAACAAGTGGTTACATTTTCTCAAACCATGTTTAGCTGGGACATGTGTAGTTGAGCATATGATGATTGAGTAGATGCCAAGCTATATTTATACTTTATACCAGAAACATTGTTATCTGGTAGTCTGTCATATATTCATATACACAAATATTAGTTGCCCTTTATACAATAAACATAATTTAATATAAAGTCAAATGTAAGCCTTCTATAAAACTAATATATCATCTTTTTAATTCAAATATTGTCGCGGCAAATTCAAATTTTAAACATGAACACATGCTCAAAATTCATGAATGAAGATAGCGAATATTTACTTTCAAAACTGCTCCATTATACATATAACATAACACTATGCTTACCTGAATGTTATTCAGTCATGCTCGCTGTTACCTCTTCGTTCAAATCATTCGTCGTCGCTTAAAAAAAGCGAATTTTTCGAACCATAAATTCAGAATAAAGGCTTGAAAAATATGGCGTAATGGCGGTGTGAATAAATGACGCTATCCCGGGAAGCTTTGCGCGCGTAGTACGAAAACTAGGCACCAGTCTGTAAAATCGCGCTCATCGTGAGAATTTTCGTTTCTTTCGATCCGAAGAGCTTCAAAAGGCCAGTTACCGGCTATATTTCAGATATTAATGGTGTGCTAAAGACAGATTAATCTCTTAGAAAATAAATAGTCCCAGTAATGCTCTTACTACATGCGAAAGAATAAAATACTACACAACAAATATCAAACGGTTATTAGACACGTAAAACTTGATATCGCCGGCAAAGTCGATATCGCCATTTACATCTACTGTATATATCCGAAAAACATATTATAGCATAGATTATCGTGATTGATGATTGGATTTATTGTATGTTACTAAAAAGCATTTTTCAGTACACACCGTGCACGCGTGTTTTCCAAAATCGGCGTAGGGTGTGTTATCTAACACACCAAGATGTGTTTTTGCAAATTAGTATGAGGTGTGTTCCCGAACACACCAAGGTGTGTTTTCATTCAAAAGGTGTGTTATTGAACACACCTTATATACATCAAAGGTGTGTACGAAAAGGTGTGTAAAATACAGGTGTGTTTCTTAGCACACCTAGGTGGGTTTTGTTACACACCATGGTGTGTTTTCTAACACATCATGGTGTGTTTTCTAACACACAAAGGTGTGTTTTCTAAAATTGTATAGGAAGGTGTGTAAAATGTACACACCTTGGTGTGTAATTAAACACACCTTGGTGTGTAATTAAACACACCTTGGTGTGTAATTGAACACACCTGTTTTTAGAGTGTGTATATATGGTGTGAACGCTTGAAACCGCCTGGTACGTTATTTGTTTACATGGATTTTAAGGAAGCTTAAATTTTGAAATACAAAGTAGCAATGAATAGCCGTGAATGTAGCATGTCAAGAATGTAGAATGTAGCATGTTGTAGACAACGAAAGCGTATATAACTCATTCAATTTGTACGTATTTCATATTTTAATAAACATGCAGTACCCGTCAGAATTATGTATGTTTGTTTTGGTAATTACTGATTAGAGTTTAAAAAAATTTATATTTTGAAAGGTTTACTGTGAACGTATACTACTCTATTACTATATGAAGAACGGTCAATTGGAATGCAACAGTGCGCAACACTATGCAATATAGTGTGTAACACTATAAAGTCTTTGTAACACCATGTAACATTATGTTACACATGAAACAGTATGGAACACCATGTACCACTCAGTAACACTGTGTGAAAGCAGGTCTGCAAATAATTATTCTACTTGGAAGGACAAATGTCTGGCGAAGCAAATATTGGTCAGACATTAATCAATTTTTCCCGGACAAAGTAAAATTTTTCATATTTTGTTTTCACGACGCACTGCAATGCATCTAAAGCTTAGTATATATCTACTAGTGCTAAATAATGCATCAGTAAATTATGGTTCAGGTTATACATAATTTCTAATTAAATCTTACGGCTTAATGCGCTGTCCATATTGCTTTCTTGTTGGTTTCATTCATAAAAAAATGTGCATGTTAAATAAACAATTTTTTGAGATCGGAGATTTGACCGGCCTAAATCGGTCGGTCACATGTCCGGTCATAAAAAGCTTTGATCAGACAAAAGGTAAAAAATTTGGACGGACAATGACCGATGGCCGGCACTAATTTGCAGGCCTGTAAAAGAGTCTGTGTGCCAATTTTATGGGATTCCACTATATACAGGCGTGAAATGTCAGATTTTTTCTCGAGTTTAAACCGGGCATTTGGTAGTGCAAGCCAGCTGACATCACAACAAAATGCATTATGCATTTCATCATGAAGTAATGTAGAATTACCATCGTTTTGATGTTAACTTTGCATGTCGGCAATAGGATTTGCGTGGATCTTAATTTGCTGAATAAGCACTTCGTGTAGTGGTTTATATGTCTTCTCATTCACCGGAATTTTTTCTAGGTCATCGAGCGTCTCTCCTCCGTCAATAACTCTGGAAAATAAATCAATGTTAAAGTTAGACTTAGAGAGGGGAATAGACTATTTGTATTCTCACTCTTGATAAAAAACTGCCAAAACAAATGAACACTTCAAGGCTACAACATACTTGCCAAACACTGTATATTTCATGTCTAAATGAGGCTGTCTTGCATAGGTGATAAAAAATTGCGACCCATTTGTGTTCGGTCCGCTGTTAGCCATTGATACCACTCCACGAACATTGTGCTGAAATAATTAAATCGTATAATTACTGTATATTAAATTAACAAAACTCGACTTGTGAATTGTCTTGTATGCTTCCAAGTACCTTTAATGTTGGAACAATTTCATCTTCAAACTTTCTTCCCCAAATACTTTTTCCACCTTTTCCTGTCCCTAGTTTAAAAATATTGACAGTTTAACTCCAGTGGTGGACATATGTTATAAGGTGTAACTTGAAATAAGGGCCGGACGGGAAACTTAAGTCTAATTTGGAGTGGCCCAGGATTGGGGGTCAACCGGTTTTTCGGTTTTCTTTTTAAAACCGGTTTTCATTTCCAATAACCGAAAAATCGGTTTTTGTTCTCTTTTATTTTTCATGAAAAGCGCAATACTAATTTTTGCAAGAAATGCTGTATAGAAGCCTCACCTATGTGGACAAAGGCAGGCAAATCAGCTAGGGGTGCATCGGAACTCAGTTCCAGCCGGTTAGTTCCGGCTGGAACTGACCGGCTGGGAAAAACATGGCCAGAACCGGACTCTGCTACTATCAGAGAGATAGAATATCAAATGTTTTTGTGTCTAACAAAAGTTCACAGCAAGAAACTTGGACTACACAAGGAATATATACACCATTAACACTTCATTACGACGTTTAACGTTTGTCAGTCTTTTTATTCTAACATTTTCGAGCTCTCTCCTTGATGACTTGAAGTGTCTGCCTGTCTGGCAGCAGACAAAGTAACATATGACTATATATGGCTTAATATATCGGTTCCGGCCGGACCTTTTTTCCAGTTCCGGCCCAATCCAGTTCTGGCTGGAACTTAAAAAATTGGTTCTGGTGCACCCCTAAAATCAGCTAATACATATCTCATAATGGTTTACACAAGTTGGATGGTTTACCGACCGTTTTAATTTGAATCAACAGCGCCCAAGTGGCCTAACACATTGCCCACCCAGGTTCACATGCTAGCACATTGCACACATCTAAAAAAAAAGCGTCCTGTTTAATACAGACATTTATATACCTGATGGGTCACCCGTTTGAACCATAAACCCTTTTATATTTCTGTGAAATACAAACAAATAAATTGCTGGTTAATATTTGATTTATAATCATTGATTACTGCAATTACACAAATATAACTGTACATATGTAGAAATACCTATGGAAAATACATCCATTGTAATATCCACTACCACATAAGGCAAGAAAGTTCTGGGAAAAGCAAAACAAAAAGTTATTCTGAGAATTCTCAAAACTTTGGGATTTTTCTTGAATGATAAATCATTTCAATATTTTCTTGTCGAAAATACAAATATTATGAATTCTTTATTGGAAAATGAACAAAATTCTCGATACCTCACACGTCTTTGGGGCTTCTTCGCAAAATAACTCGACTTTGATGTCACCAAAATCAGTCACAAGTGTTACAGACTGCCAAGAAAATTGGCAAAATTTTGTCAAAAAACAACACAACAAACATTTTTAATCAATATCTACTTCTACTTAGATTCCAATATTGCTAGACTACCATTACCTACCATTTTCGATGGAAAAACTGCACTTAAATATCCAAAAATTTAGGCAATGTATTTTCAAACTCAAAAAAACTTTTCAGCGTCCATCTTGAAAAGCAAAGACATGTGGGTATATTTATGGATAAAAAACAGCAATGCGATTGATTAGCCTTTATATCCCCCTGAGACAAATTAAACTATTTAATACATGATTTATATTATTACATAATTTTAATTTTATAATTAACTTAAAAATGGCGGATGAAAAACATCGAAATGTCATTATAAAATACATGTAAGGGTATCATAATTTGCTGTCATTTGTCTCAAAATTTTCCATAAAACTTCGAAAAAGATTTCCGAAAAGTAAGAGTGAGGGTAACAATAGTCAATGGGGGGTAGAATACTAAAATCCCCATACGACCATGTTTTATTGCCAAACACCATTAACTTCCACTTATATCCCACAATTACCCCTATGTCCTAAATTTTAAAGAATTTCAAACGTAAATATTTTTTATTTTAAAAATATTTTTACCTTTTAATAGTTTTTACGTGAATATATGTCACAAATATGGCCCAATATCAACTAGTTTTAGAGAAGGCTATTAATACAGACTCCGAAACTGTTCCTAAGCCGCGCAGTGGTCATCGATGTGTTACAGACGGCGTATTCCTGTATTCCTTTGGTGGTTTTAACCCAAACAACACATATGACAAATTATTTAATAGAAATATATGGTGTTTTCATTTAAGCTCAAAACGATGGTATATTGTATTCACAGATAGCTATGCTTTTGGGTCCGCACCAACGTGTGTTGCATCGAGTGTTATGGTGTTACACAAAGGTTGGTTTATTGTATTCGGCGGTTCCGGTTATCCGTTCGGTATGAAAAACAGCAACAAGGTGTTTGAATGCGACCCAAAGGAGCAAAGATGGCATCATTTGTCAGTTATGCCTGAACTCGGTAACATTGCACCAACACCTGGATACGGACAAGGCGTCGTTATGGGTCCAGATGAATGCATGTTTATATTTGGCGGCACAAAAGGGCTCGTTTATAATAACGATCTGTACAAGTTCGATTTCAAGGAACGTAGGTGGGAATTAATCGCATGCAGCAACCCCCCTTCGGCAAGGTATAGACACGAGATGGCAAGCATCGAAGGTGGCTTTGCCGTGATTGGTGGATACGGCTTCAACGGTGCTTGCCCATTGGATAAGCTACCTGTATATAGTTATGCTGATTGTTCGTGGAGGGAAGTCAAATGCGAGCGGGACCCAGATCATGGATTTCCAAAACCCAGGCGCGCGCACAGCTGTGTGAAATTTGAAGACAATGTGTATGTGTGTGGCGGCTTTGACGAGGAGTTTGGTGATACAATATACGATGATATATGGAGGTTGAATGTTAAAACGTTCTCATGGACTAAAATCCCACAGGTAGAATGATTCAGCTATTAACATAATAAGTTGTTATGGTTTGTGTATGGACTATCTAAATTATACTTAATGGTACAAACTCTGAAATGCCCATTTTGCATCTTTTTGCAGTAACCCAAATCCCATTTTTTTCAGGGGTTCAGATTGTGTAATTAGCCAATTGAGCGCTTGTGCTCTCCCCTTAATAATGAGTAAAATTATCTGGTGTTAGAGTAAATTAATCTGGCATTAGACAATAAAGTAAGGCTCCCAAAAATATGTGGGTTTCCTATTTCTTCTTGTAAAAACTTAGATAGGGTAGGTCAGTTTTAACTTTTTTTTAAAACTTTTTTTTTAATTTTCCTAACAACGAAACTAACGAAATCTTTAAAAACTTTTTTAAGGCTTTACCACATCCGACATACTTTCACTCGGCAGCAGTAACGAGCGAGGGTTGCATGTACGTTTTTGGTGGCATCGAATGGATCGGGGAAGACGAAAACAAAAGGACAAATAACATGCTCAAAATGTGGTTGGTAATACCGCCACTGGAGAAGCTATGTTGGCAGGCGCTGTGTGATACCATTCCTCAAGACAGGAGACTCAATACGAACAAGTTGGGTAGTCTTGGTTGTCCAAAGTATCTTTTAGCGAGCTACGATGCTCAGTTCCTTGTTGGGCTTGAAAATGATGAAATTTAGATATACTTTTTAAGGCAAATGAGGAGCCTGTACATTACCAGATTCTAAAATAATTTTTGGCTGTATCTTTGTACCATAGATAATTTTTAAATCATTCACTCATTTTACGGACATATTTTAAATGAAATACAGTAGGCCACAAACATTTACTGACAGTTAGTTCTCATATAATCAGCATTTTACCTAGGTGTAAATAGTTTAATTTTATTAGTAACTACTTTCATTTGACAACAATAACAATGTATTTGCCGACACAAATGATTCAATAAAACCAGTGCCGTCAGAAGCAAATTGAAATCGACAGCCCTGAAAACTAATTTGCAACTTTCATTATGATGTCATGTCCAGTAATTTACAGCAATTTGCACAAAGTGATCTATGAAAATGCTCGATCAAGCGTGAAATCGACACAATTTGTTGATTTTAAATTAAGTAAACACTCTGTTAACCTCTATCTCAAGTAAGCACCCGTTTTTAATTTGTTGTTGCAGTGGATGGCTGCAGGAGCTCCCAGCTTTGTGTGAGAATAAATATTTAGCTTCAATGATGCAATCTCTCCAGAAAATGGCAGAAATGCAGTCATTTGAATCATTTACTTCATTACTCCTTCTACCCAGTGGCAGCTTTAGGGCTGCACAAGCAAAGCGAAGCCTGGGTTTCCTGTGGTGGCTGTGGTAGTATGCAGTCATTGAGCTTCAAAAGTATAAAAATTTCTGGGGGGTTACCCCAGACCCCTTATTTTCATTACAAACTTAGAGATGTTATATTCAGGTAAAATTATCCCTTAATTGTCACCCTGTACACTCCAGATGCTTCGCAATCTTCCCGAATATATGTCAATTACAAAGTGCCCCTCTACGATAATCTCCACCCCCCCCCCTTGCCCTCTAATCGTTTTGGCATCCATGGTTCGAAAAAGTCCCAGGAAGCTCAATAGAGTATTTACTGTGAAATATACATCCTTTCCTGGCGGCCATAAAGCTGTCAAAATACTATAAGCTGTTTTTATTATAAACCGCCGGCAAATTAGCTTACCAGTTGGTAAATTTACTCAATTTCGTAAAAGGCTATTACTATAATGCTGATATGCACATCGGTCTGCAAAGGTGGTATGGGCCACCGGTAGAGATTGCTAGGTAGCAGGGCCGTAGCTAGACGCGATAATGGGGAGGGGGGGGGGGGTATATTCATGTTCACATACCGTAAAAACAATCGCTTTCAAAAGAAATCCGTCGGGCAGAACACGAATATATGAATATGCACTCTCCTCCCCCCCCTCCCCCCAATTATAGGTCTAGCCACGGCCCTGCTAGGTAGGTATTTAATATATTTTCGAATGCTCTGGGCGGATTTGCCAATATTTTCACTGGGGGGAAATTCGGGACCTGAAGAATACGGAACTGTGTCTAATAATAGTGAAAACCGGCCTTTATATAGAGCATGCAGTTGAAAGGTTTTGTAGAAGGAAATTACAATTTTCAGACCTGAGCAGTGCAGGAGCAGAGGCCACGGGCATTGTCCGACCGTGAAATTGTCCGACGTAGAGAGGAAACCACCGCGGGACATTCTAAGGTTTATTGTTTGTCCGACCCGAGTGTATTGGTGTCAGACCGAACTGTAGCTCTGACCATCGTAAATCAAAATCAGTACCCTAGTCCAGGACTAGAGGCTCATATGTTAAATGGAACGATCAGAGTAGTGGGCTGTATAGAAAGTGAACTGGAAATGTCGTTTTATTATAGTACTCGAGGCGGGGCGGCGAGCGAATGCATTCATTTATTAGCGATTCCCAGCAGCCACAGAATAAAGATCAGTAACAGAAGGGCCACTCAACAGTGCAACGTGTCCTCTTTTTTTTATGCAAAAATATGCAGTTTACTGGCCAGAAGGCGGAGCAGCCAGCCAGTACAGCGTGTTTATTGGCCAGAGAATGTCATTGACTGGCTAGGAAAATGGCGGCCAACATGCGTAATGCGACATGCGCGAGCCCTTCTATATGGATCTTTATTCTATGCAGCAGCCTTTCGCGCTTGTATTCGACTTTTCCGCTTTTCCGCGTTTAAGTCATGCTGCCTCAGTTCAGGAAGCTTTCGACGCCCCAGGCAGGATAAGCTTACAAACCAAAATATCCGGCAGAAATTAAAATAAACAGTCTATTTTTAATACGGTGGATTAATTAGCCTGATTAGATTAGGTTGATTTTCCTCCCCTTTTAATCGAATTTACAAAAGCATTTTAGTTGACCTTGAGTCACTTTCAGTTAGAAGAAATTTTTAACTATGTATCTGGGTGTAGTACCCCAGGAATTGGATCTGCCCTGCCCTCCCCCTCCGAGTCATGTTGATTCCGCTCTTGAAACAATAGCCGCAACCATTGTTTTCAAGGAAAAATAACCCCGACGACCACTTTGAAGTGCAGAAAATCGCGTTCGTGCCATCGCGTGACCCCAATTTTTCAAAATTTTCTGGGTTGACATATTTTTCCATTTGCCTCTCAATGAAAATTCCTTACAGTAAAAAGGTACTGAAAAGTTGCATTAAACTTCAAAGGAACTTTAAACATTGATAAAGAGTACGTAAAATAGAGATACAATTCAACGGAAATTCAAAACGAATACAGTAGAATTGTAAGGTGAAGAACCACCAAGCATTTTGGATGACTTTCAAACAAGACATAGCAATAAACATTTCGTTTAAACCGAGCATTTTAGCATTTAAATCCATTCCCAAGAGCGATATTCAAGGACGAGACATTTTATCAAATCCCACTATATTAACCATGATCAAATTCACTAATTCAGAGGCTTTTAAATGACAATTATTAGTCTAATAATATACTATCAACAGATCACTAATTATAGGGAGGGAAACAAATAACTTCAAAACACTAAATTAGGAACTGAACTGTTTTCGAAATATAAAGAACCAGTTCAGATCGGATTTATCAATTTGTAAGGACCATTTCAGCCTGACGTAAAAAAAACTGATAGTGGGCGGTTCTTTTTAAGTTATGCGTTTTTTTTACTGCAGGCAAAGTCGACAGCTGTGAATTGAGCCTGAGAGACATAAGTACGTTCACTAACTGATCAGCCATGTGGCCCATGTTAGACAAGTACTTAATACCGCTCACGTACTTAGCGACGAAGGAAAATTTTAAAATCTAGAGCGCCTAGCAAATGAGCAATTTTGCATTTATATAATTCCAGGTTCTATGACTATGAGACGCCATTTCTCACATTCTCAAAATTACATTACTTTTGATAAGATATGGAAAAATTTGAGAAATATTCATGCTATGGTCAGTGACATGCATGTCATTTAACAGTTGAAATTCTAAACTAAATCTGTTCTTCTTGGAACCAAATATACAAACGCTTTAACGCGAATTTACACATCAAGATCTTCAGTATTAAAATCGTCGTTGTCCTAGGTCGAAACTTAGTCAGTTTCAGCTTCGAGAATGTAACGTGTATCCCAATTTACGACGGATTTGGATAAACAAAAATTTACAGTTTCAACTAGCTCGTCTTACGTATTACACTATTTTTCCCAATTTGTTATTTTCATATTATTTTAATCAGTCATAAGTGGGTTTGAACGTGATAGCAGGAAAAACGTTCGTCTTAAATATAACTGCTAAATGATATTCGTGGTTTCGGGAATATTGCCAAACCCGCTTCCCGCACAACACGCAAGGGAAATGCGTGCATGTACTCGCTGTTGTTCCATGATATTCTAGCGCGTGTCCAGCCAATCATTGCGTCAAGCATCACTCAACAACTTCATTGAAATCGTCGTATTTAATATATCGCGTTTGATCAGCGTTCGAAATACAATGCGCTTGGCCAATGAAATTGCGCAAAAATCGTAACACGAGCTTACAAATGTAATATCATCTTTTGATAGTTTCTGGTTTATTCGACTCGTACTTCGTTATCAAACGCCAGTCTGGGTTGTGCTCTGCGCGTTTAATAATTGCACTCAAAATCAAGGCCAAACTTTGCCACTTTAAAAGTGAAGACCAATTAGGTAAGTTATTTTGAATGTAAGGTAATATATACTTGAATTATTTAGTCTAGAATAATTACGGTTGACACAGTGTAATACCAGCGCTTAGTTTTGTAAATCAGTAAATCCCAAAAGATACTTTATATCATGTTATGCCACAGCCTTTTGTGCAATTGACACACAACGCGCTAAAAAACGATCTTTAACCCATAAATACGATTTGTTTATAGCCTTAGGGATAGACAGTATTGATGGTTATAGATGTACTGTGGTTTAATGTCTCAAACGTAGGGTCCAGTGTAGACTAACTTTAATCTTTCGTCAGAAAGATAGCAGGTAGTATTATCCGTTCTTTAGAAAGACACAAATTACGAATTCATAGTTTGTCTTCAATTGTCATATATCAACCATGATTCGCAATATTCTCGGTCAAGTCGACATTAATCAGTCATCCACAGTCCAATATCGCGTCATTATGTCATTTCGAGCACTTTTAATTTACATCAGAATGTTGAAATCAACATGACTCTGTTTGAAAAAGCTTTAAACGCGCGCGTTCTGTGCAATTCAATCGAACCGAAATGGCAATCAGAAGGTAAAATGCCTCCAGACAGCATTTAAACGCAGGGTGCCAGGGTGCACTCATTAGTGAAGCATTACAGGCAGCGCACGTTTAAAAGGACACGAGGATGTTTTTCGCTGAATTTGTGATAAAACAAATTGTTTTTGCACGGCAAAATGTCAGAAAAGCGCACGTATTTATAGATCTGGTTTGCGCGGAGAGAATGTTTTTCGTTGAATTTGTGATAAAACAAATTGTTTTTGCACAGCAAAATATTAGAAAAGCGCAGGTATTTATAGATCTGGTTTGCGCGCAATCGCGCGCATAATTTTCATACTTGGCGTTGCGTCAATTTAACCACACACAGCGCCAATCGGTAAAGGGTTTTCTGGTCAACTTTTTGAGCGATTCTTGTTAGTAAATAAACTGTACTTTCGATTACAGTGCTTTGTCTGAAATTCAATGCTGCTTTTGTTTACATAAATATGACTCAAACAGGATTCGAGTCGGTTGTGATTCATTTGAATGAGGCATAAAATTCTATAACAATTCAATTTAAACAACACATTAATGCGTGGTACCATTTGCTTAGGAGGCATCTTTCGAGATTATTCATTTATTCCAATTACAATAATGACTTAAAAATACAATATTAGGCAGGAAGTGCTGATATATGATATAGTGATTTAGTGAAAATATTGGCTCTTGTATATTTTATAGGCATTTGATTTAATTAATTTCGTATTCATCAAAATCCCAGACAAAACCACAAAAACAAGGCGTAATATAGTGTAGATCTTTGTAAAACGTATTAATAATTCATGAAGAAAAGCTAAAAAAAACATGTCGCAAAAAATGGCAAAAGAGTTGGTATTAAGCTTGATTACCGAATGAAGCCCGAAGGTCACGCGACTGTTCTTGATGCTTTTCCAACACTATCATGTATTCTATCATAGTTAATATACAGGGTGAGTAAAAAAAAAACTGATACCTTCGCGGCTAATTTGAATAACAAAGGTGTCAGTTTTTTTTACTCACCCTGTATATGACATGGTTTGGAAACCTTTTGTTTTAGGTGATTGTGTACCTTGTGCAGGGTCACGGTTGTAAAATCCTTTGTCTTTCTATTGTTTGACAATAGTCAGTTCAGAAAGCTTGGCGAAGAGAATGGGTACCAAGTATTTGTTTTGCCTACCAGGGCTATATCTTACGGCATATTTTGCAAATAACGACGTTTTACCACCATTTTTCGATGGAGTATGTTTGTGTTACATCGTTTGGTCAATTCTCATTGATTAAAACCAATATGTGCAGGGTCAAATTGACCGACTGTTCAACCTCCATGTTTGTTTATAGTGTAATTTCTTTGAAGTTTGCCGAGTTTCCTAACCAGGTCTTATAACAACCATGATTCTATTTAAGTTAAAGATGCGGTACAGTCCGTATGTAAACAAAGGCTTTGTTTACATTTCGGTATCCAAAATATTGAATTTTTTTCGACAACTATTTATATTTTCATGATTCTAGAGTATAATAAATTATCAAGAGACAACAATCAAGTTTTGCAAGAACATAAAATGAGATAAAAACCTAAATAAACTGTTTGTAAATAAAAAGAGGGCTCCTTTGTGCACATGCGCAGATTGGACTGTACCGCATCTTTAAAACATAGTTGGACTTTATTCTGTTAATGGAGAGCTCAAAATGTCTCACGTAACAATGCGTGAAATTCTCATCCTCGTACTTGACTGGGCTTTTTATAGATGCATTTGTAATCTGTGTTAGAAAATCTGTTGTTGGTATATTTATAAATTTCCTTGCTTCCGCAACTTTGCCCACAATACCACAAGTAATATAATTAACATGTTGGTCTAAAAAATAGGAAACGAATGTTGTGAAAATAAACTCTGGTCAAAGTCTAGGCTAGGTTTGTTATGTGCACGTATTTTTCTCCAAAAATATAAGTGGATGTTAGTTGACATTTTCCGTCTTCAAATGACATGTTTGTAACGGATTACAAATGGAAAAACAACAAGTGTTTAATAGGGTAAATAGTTTACTGTTAAATCCTTAGTAACAACCCAATTGACAAAGATCTCGGAGGGTTAGTTTTCTGAAGAGCTACTTTGGGACCGGTCATCAATAATGGGTGGGCGAGAAAAAGGGGGCAGTCTGCAGTGTATTATTAGGGAGCTTTAGATTTGACTACGAGTACGACTACGAGTACGAGATTTGATCGCGTGCGAGGAAGTTACCGTAGTCGTTCTCGTTTCCATTCAAATGTTGCTTTTATAACAGTAAATCAACAACGAGAGAAAAAGTTTCATAAACTAAAT